GTAGCCCTCTATAGCTACACTTCAGTCATGTGAGGAGTCCCACCAGGTCTCCATAATCCCTACTAGATCATAATGCACACTGGAGAGTAGGAGGGCTAGCTCCTCCTGCTTGTTCCCCGTGCTCCTGGTGTTAGGATATAGGCACCTGAGTTCTCTTACTGAGGTCCTAATCTTCCTGTCCTGCAAGAGTGGCTCTCAGCTCCTGCAAGAGTGGCTCTCCCAGTGTCCCTATCAACTGGGCTCACTTGTATGTTGGTCCCTGTCAGCGTTCCAGCCTGCAAGGGGCTGCTTGGGCCCCTTATACCCCCCACACCTCCCTGCCCCATATACTGGGAGGCTAGGGACAAGGGGCAGCGGGTTGGGAGCTAGAGGCACTGGGTCGAGACTGGCCATCGGTGTTTACAAATGGGTCCTGCTACAGAAAAAGCTTGCGAACCACTGCCCTAGGCCACACTTAAAACACAGAGTTGAGGCTCAACTTGCAATTAGTTTTTCTATATAGTGCCTTCACTAGGCTTCAATTAACTAGACTAGAAGTTATGTTTATGATAACTCATTCTAACAGGACTTGCTATTTCTTCCAGAAAAATTGGCAGTAGAAGAAATGACACACACAAATAAAGTATAATTACACTACGTGAAGTCCCTTTTTCAATAAGCAATCAGAGGTATGAACTGGTGACTTTATCTTTATAAAAGGAAGGTTCATGTTATTCAAACCTCTTAGTGAACACAAGCCATTGTTATCTTTTCCATTGCATCTTTAATTAAGACTCATTTGAGTTATTCTTATTTTCATATTGCGATGAATGTAGTATTAAAATGCACTATTAGAATGACAGCAATTTGTATTGTTGTGTGTAGGATGGATAGAGTTTAAGAAAAGGGAGACAATAAAACCGTGATCAAGGAATCTTTACACAGTCGAGAGCAGACTCTGCCTCTAGTTATAACTGGGTTAACCCTATTGTTGGAATTTGCCCTATATATTCTGCATTTAATAAGGACTCCCTATTATTCTAATCCTGATAATTGCAGGCTAGCAACATTTGTCTCTCTAATAGAACCTTCCCACTGAGCATCTCATAACACTTTACATGCATTAATTAAATCACATAAACAGGGAGCTGAAGCAAATCTGCCCAGTGCTTCAAACTGAATCCATGAGCTGGGAACAGAATCCAGGAGTCCTAGCTCCTCTTCCTCCCTTGCTCTACCTATCATTATGCCTGATCATACATGCTACCAGGCTGAAGTCTCATGCTTCAGCTTGCGAAATGGTCATGATAGGTGTCAAAAAGACCTCTTTCCCCGCTGCACACCTGGCATTACAGAATAACTTAAGTATGTGAAACAGTTCCCTTTCCCTGTTGCTAAAGTATCAGGGGTCAGCCACTTCTGGAGGCAGGACATTGCTCTTGAGGGACTGACCTGGCACGGCAATCTATATGCAACTGAACGATAGTCGCATTAATTATTTTCAGTGTTTGTTTCTCCCACCACTCCCTTTTTGATAACTTTTAGTCACAGCTTTGCTTTTTCTCCATAAGGAATGAAAGTTTGAATGCCAAAATGTGAAGGCTGGGTAAAAACCATTAGTGTTTTCCTTTTTTTTCTTACAGCACTAGTCCTTTTCATTTTGAACCCTGATAAGATATGGTATTGACTATTGAGTGTGCATCTCTGGAGGACACACAGCTGGCAAACTTTTCTCTCTCCTCCACAACACAACTAATTGACTTTACGTAATTTTTATTTATTTTTCTTTTTACATCTCCCCAGGCTTTCATGTTGGCAGCAGGTGGTTATGGAGCATTAGCATTTTAGAGACAAAAGCTAAAGAAAACCCCCAGTACTGTATGGCTGTGAAGAACATGTGAGGTTTGAGATTTAGCTGCTGTGAATGGAAATGCAATGTCTAGTCAGAATCTTATAGCTGCTTAGTGGGGCCATATGAAGCTTCATGAGCTGATTGGATTCAGAGGAAATTTGGCCTGATGCAGGGACCTAATCTCTGAATCTGAATCAAATCAGGAGACCAGTTAAAAGGTCAAATCAATTCGGAAAAGATTCAGAGAGCTTTGGCGATTCGGACAGTCCCTGCTGGTGGCAGCAGGGAGTTGGACCTGGACTCTGTGCTGGTAAGTAGGGGGTGGGGCAGGCCAGGCCCCAGCCCCCACC